TTTAACGCTATTGGTGACATTCAAAAGGCCGTACACATCGACTTTAAGGGCCAAATTATGGAAGTAGTCTCATTTCTTAATTGTCGGACCTTGTATTCGCTTTTGTTGTTCATTACTGAGCCCAAATATTCCCAGTCTGTGACATGTTCCATCTCTTTGTTGTCGGTTTTAATTGCGCTCCAGTATGTGACGAAATGACCTCAGTGGTCTCAGAAGTTATATTGTGTTTAATAATTTCTTATGTTCAGAGAAGGACAAAGAATTATAAGCAATATACACTGAGCCTAAAATAGTTCTAAAACCACTACAAGGGATTTGAGAATTGGTTAAACTGTGTTTCCAGTCTCTTGCCAGACAAAGCAACCTTGTTTTATGTAATATTACGGAATACTACTGTAGCTAGAGTTTCACATGCCTGTGTCAGAATATTATCTCCTGCCCAGTCTGTAGAGGCAAGTAAAGGGGGAGATAACGTAGTATCACACCTGAGATTAGCTCCCCTGAAACCGACCGTAGTGTCATAAAAGGTACCCAACACACACTGAGTGGGGCTGGCGTCCAGCGTCTGAAGTTTCACACATGATAGTGAAATTCTCAAGAGAACAGATGTTTGGCAATTAGGAATGTTTGATCTTGGTCAAGTAGGAAACACAATGGCTTCACTGACCGTCTTTTAACACCTGCCAGTTAGATTCGTTGTAAACTAGATTGGGTCACTCAAGAATGTTCGCTCTAGGGATGTCAGTCCAGAATTGACTGACAGGTCACTTTTTAGCTAATTTGATCTGATAGGTACTTCAGAGGCGTGGCTCAAGTCATCGTCTTGAGGGTTGGGTAGAACAAAGTAAAGGGAGGAGTTTAATTTGGACAATAGATTGATACTTATACTGCGAGCATTGTAGATTTACCCCATAGGGCCGCCAGCAGGCCACAGACTCAGACCTACCGTAGAAAAGTATTTTCTCACTGGTTGAGTCGTGTTTGGCATTTGCTGGAAAGTTCCCAGCTCCCATGTGGGTGAGGATCAGTCTTTTCTAAAAAAAAAGAAATAGAGGGTCATCACGGTCACGAGACTACATTGTGCTAGAACTCGGCCAGCTGGGAAACAGTTGGGAACCAGGGAACCAGGTGGAAGGACCAGGAGAACTGGGCGGAAAAGTGGAAACAGCTAAGAAGGGACTCAACACGAGGACTCTCAGAAACTCCACTTTTCTAAAACAACAAAAGTTACGTATCTTGTATTTCTGTAACTAAACACCACCATTATCACTTTATCCTAATCTTAGGTGCTCAGTTAGCTGAAGCATCTCATTACCACCATACCATCACTATTGACTAAAAATATAAAGAACTAAAATAATTGTTAGGATAATAAATCAAGTATATGGTCTTATCCTGCATCAGTTTTTGTAATTCCAAGTGTGTCTGTTCTTACATGTTTACTTAAACTGTTAAGATAGAATAGCATTTGGTGGGGGCTCATTAAATAATAATAATAATAATAATAATTCTGTACCAAGAGAAGGTCGACGGATTGGGTCAACTGCCCTGTCTAGTAAATAATTCAAGATAATAATATATAGACATCTAAAACCCATTTCCTTCTCTTGTGGATACCAAGTTCAGCTAAAGTTAATATAAATAACGAGCCAATATGGCTGTTTTCTTGGATATCCAGGACTTTGTCTGAGAGCAACATAGCCCGGATAATAGTTCAGGTAATCTGGTGGAGGGGATGTGTTGAGAGGAAAATCCCTACTCAACATATAAATCATTTAAACCCAAATCCAGAGAACCCACGACCCGGGACGTCACACTAAAAGTGTTGTAATCTCAAGGGAAGTGGGCCGTAACGTCACACAGTATTACGCATCCCAATATTCTAACATTAATTGGCGCCTTGTAATCAGTGAGGACCATCATTACAGCGCCCTGGAAGAATCCATAGGTTCTGAAAGTGATACCCAGTCGTCTCCTTATGAGATGCAATTTTTCGATTTTTGAAGCCCTACTTTGGCTCTTGCCAGGAGCCGAAATATAGCCTGGTCATAAATATGGTCTAATGGCTGAACGCGGTTTCCGGGACCTCTCCACGGGTGATCCTCATCCACATGGTGGCACATTGTGTCATCGGGTGTTTATCGCTTGTTTGATGTCATGGTGGAGTAGAAAGTTAGTGAGTCAGTCCATAGGTTCTTGGTTTCCTCTAGTCAGTACAGCCACAGAAGTACAACAAATGATCGCGCCCTATCTGCGTTAATTAATCAAACGTGTTGTGCCCTTTCTGTCGCTAAGGCGCTGCAAACGCGCTTCGTAATGCCTGGGTGCTGGGTTCGATCCCAGCTGCAGACAATTTGTCTTGCGTTGGTTTCGACAATAGTACCGAGAGCTGACCGTGCAGATGGCAATGGCAACCTACTGAACGTAAAATTTGCCTAGACAAACCACAGCAGCCAACAAATACTGGGGTTGGTTCTGCAACGTCCTGTAAAGGATACGCAACGTAACTATTTAAACTTGTGCCCTTATTCAAATGTACTTGTCTCAATGCCCCAAGCTGCATCACTTGTTCGTTGGCCTAGACAGCGACACTGCATCAGAGAAACAAAAAGAAGCTTTAAGTAAATACGTTCAACTACACACTGAGGTCGCCCACCATCGGATCTGAGGGTCGTAGGTTCAGATCCACACGTCGCTGGATATTTTGTAAACATGACCTTGGCCCCTAGGTCGACCCAGCCTTAAATGGATACGAAGTAAAGCACTAGGAAATAATTGCGGCCGGCGTGATGTTGACCACATCATCTTTTGAGATAAAAATGTGATTCTAGCCCCATATGCCCAGTGCGCCATTGGCGCAGACAATGACATTTTATACATTTAGGTGTGACAGTCAACATGTTACATAATTAATAATATGTTATGTTTATTCAAGGGCATTAAAAGTCTATGAATGAGCATCAGCAAGAAATCAAAGTCACAATTTTGAGATCATGCATCTTCCCTATAGCAACACTTGAATGTGAGTCGTGGACTGTCTCGCAGCCCTTAAGGAAGATAATAGGGGCTTTGGAGCTCGGATGTGATAGAAAGATTCTCTGAAAACCATAGACAATGAAGAAAATAAATACTAACATCCTCAAAGCAGCATCTTGTCTTGGAAGCTAGAATTGTTTGGCCATATCAAACGCCATGGTGGATAAGACCTAAAAAATAATAATAATGAAAGCCGAAGATATTGTTCCAGGAATGAGGGGCAGCGGCCGACCAGCACGAAGATGGAGACAAGATATGAGTTACTCACTGTGTGTGAAAGTGCAGGAGGCGATAGAGCTGGAGATAGAATGAGTTTCTTTCAGGCAGACCGTGATGAGAGCAGCGTTCTGTAAAGAGCCGGTTATGTGATGATGGTGATGATATTCCGTTTTGGGAGAACGTAACAAATTACTGATGCATAAAAAAAAAGGTTAAATATAGGACCACTGACAAGCTAGTGACCGATCAGTACATGGTGCAGATACAAATGGGTAGGCACTCCTTGGGTGATCACGCTTGCCAACCATGCTTCCTATGAAATTTCCTGATACCTATTGTAGGCGATGTCTACTTGGGAGCTATTGCCAGTTTTTATTGTAAATCCACCTTGTATGCTTCTAGCCACTGGCCCACTGTGCACTGCGTTTAAATTATATTTAAAAAAAAAAAAAAACATTCTCTCTAACAGTAAATATTGTATGTTATTTAGCGAGGCAGGCCCGAGTTACACAAAGGCGGTAAAGAACCTCACCGGGGTCCGCCCACACCAGCCGACCTTTCTCATGTCTTCTTTGAGTGTGTGTATCCTTGTTGTTCTTGAACCCTGCTCGTGAGCTCCATGTCTTTTATTTCACAGTTTCATAGTTCGTTTCATTGGGTTATAAATTGGCGGTGCTTCCATGCGCAACATTTATGGAGCTCCAATTTTATTCTTGGCTGTTTTATTATCCTGGGAAAGGGTGTTTATGTTACATTGAGTTTCTTGTCCAGCGCTCATACAGGGCATTCCTTTTTATGTGTCCAGTGCAGGAAACTACAGGACATAAACGTGGGTTGACAAGTTTTAAGGAGTGTTTAGGCCGTTGTCCTGGATTCGCAGCATGTCTTTCTGTTGCTATGACACTTTTGTCCTTAGTGGTTAATTATTATTTGAGCTAATTATTTGTATTTACTACATGTAAACTTCCATTGCATTGATACTCCTAGTTCTTCAGGAAGAACATATGGACGTTTGGCCTGAAATGCTATAGAAAGATTCTCATAATACCATGGACACAAAAGATAAAAAAAAAAATATAGTGACATTCTGAAAGATGTGAACATCAATAAAGAGTGGCTAATAAATAGCATCTCGTTTCCGAAGCTGAATATCTTGGCTATATCAAGCGTCACGGTGTTTTTAGAAAAAAAATAGCAAAAGGTATAGTACCAGGAAGGAGTTGCATGGGCCGACAAACATGAAGACAACAGGCACAGGATATTAGTGACCTTGAGTATAAAAGTGTACATGGCGAGAGAAATGGCGAGAGTTTCTTTCAAGCAGACCGTAATGAGAGCGACGTTCTGCAAAGGAACTGCTCCACGATGAACTTGTTTTTACAGCTTGATATTATTCAACATTACTGCTTAATGAGTTGTTCCTGCCACTGTGTCGGCTGTTTATGGTTTTACTAGGCAGTGATAAGTTCAGGAGTTTACAAATGGTCTCTGAATGGTTGGAAGCTCATGACGTTATTGAAATCATGGCAAAGCGTTTTGCTGGCTCTTCTTTATCTTAACGTTCACCTGCTGTAAACTTCGATAGAAAGCATAAGCTGTTCGTCTACTTCTGGACTTAGGTCTTTCTACATAACTTAATTTTTGCGTGCGCATCCGTTTTACATCCGTGTTATCCGTTGTGCTATGATGTTGACCCGGCGTCTAAACCTAAACCTAATGACAAGTATATCTTGTGTCCTCCACAGTGTGCCTTTGTTGAAACAACTGCCTTCAGACAAGCTAGCAAAAATAGCTGATGTTCTAGAATATGTGAGTATTTCGCATTCATTTACGTCTAATGATTAGTTGTTTTTTATAAGTTAAAGTCTAGACATATGGCGCGATCTCTGTCTCCACAGAACGACCAGTGGCCTGTCGAATGTTTCGCACAAAACACGAAATTCGTGGCTCTGATAACAATACCCAGCGATCTTAGCAGAAATTATACCTGTCTACTGAACGACGCAAACTACTGGACGTAAATTTGCCTAGAAAAACCACACAACAGCCAGTGGGGTTGGTTCTGCAACGTCCTGTAAAAAATAACATAACTGAACGACGCAGCCGTGAGAAGAACCCATGACCTTCGGAGCGTAAAGTAGGCGGCTTGACTACTTCGTCACAGAGACACGTGTGTTTGTCAACGTCTGTGGCTTAGGGTCACGAAAAAAACGCTAATAATATCCAAGTACCAAGTTCGTTTCGGCTGCACGCTGCAGAACGATTTGGGTTCTTTCGCAATATCCTACCCCAGATGACTTCACATGACAGTCGAACATTTTAGAGTGGTAGGACTGGGTTTCCCGGTTTAGCATCTAAACCCCAATGCATCTAGAACTGGCCCTAACCCCACCCACCTACATCCTACGAGAGAGTGCAGCCTAGGTCCCACAATGCATGCAACCTAGGTCCGTCGACTGCATGCAACATATCTACCACCCCCTGAAATATTAGACTGTCCCGTGACCTGAAGATTTTCTCTGTTTGGATTAGGATATAAAGAAAGCACCCCGATTTGTGTTGATTTCGACGATAGTAGACCATGTAACGACAAAACACTGAACGTACCTAATACTGGTATAGTAAAACCACAAACAGCTAAAAACAATGGATTAATTGCAGTCTTTCAAAGGCTATTCGACTAGCGCTAATTTTAGAATGTTTATAATAAGACACTGCGGTGATTTGGCCCCACCAATAGAAGTGAAAGCATTGATGGAGAAAGACACATTACCGGAAGATGCTGTTTTATATACAAACGGTTCTGTGATTCGTCACAGTATGGGCTTTCACGGCAAGAACTAAATGACAAGTCATCAGAAAAGACAGTGGAGCCTTTGCTTCTACCACCAGCAGTGAGGTCAAGGCTGTGACAAAGGCCCTCGAATGTCTGAAAACTCAGAAATTCTCCAGTGCATGCTTTCTCAGCGACTCGGTGAGCACGCTACAGAAGATAAGGGCGGGGCATATACGGAAACGGTAACTGAATAGACTGCATACCCTGGGTGTACCAGCTGGAGCAGAGAGCCCGGAAAACCATGCAAGAGCTACCCTTTGCATCAACCTGAACAGAATGGAAGTTGTTAGCCTTAAAACTCTTTGAGACATACGCAGGAAGAGATCCGAGCACTTATGGTCATGTCGAATGTGCGATGAAGATGATCTATAAATAAACAAGGAACAATGAACAATGCATATAATAGTTATGTGTAATGTACATAACAGCTATGCAGAATAGTCAATTATATATATATATATATATATATATATATATATATATATATATATATATATATATATATATATATATATATATATATACACACACACACACAGATACACACAATTGTATGGAGTGTATATAACACTCATTTAGAATGTATGTTAAAACTTATCATAGACATGATCAAGAAAGAGGACATTTTGTTTGGCCTAATATTAGAAGATCATTATCATATAGCAGATCCTTTGCAAAATATAGCCCTCATCACAGCTGAACTTTCCTTTCCAAAGTGAGACTTACATCCGGTGCCTAACTTCGAGCTGGTTGGCCCCTGTTCTTGCACAATACCTTCTGCTACTATTCTGTCACCTGGATTGGGTTATTGATATGGCCAAAATATTTGAGTTTTCGAGACAAGATGTTGTTTGTGAGTCAATCCTCCTTGATGCTTAGATCTTTTAAGATGTTAGTATTTCTTTTTTTTGTGTTTTCTTGGTCCATGCTATTCTGAGAAGCACTCTACAGCATTTCAGTTCATTAATGACTGCGAGAGAGCCCACGACTCATCCGTATGTTGCTACAGGACAGACGCCAGCAGTCAAAATTGTAAGAATATACGCAGAGAAAAATTCACATTACGTGGGCATATCGCAAGAAGAGGAAAACTGGGCTACGTTCATAGGAAATAAAAGTTGGAGCGAGAAAATGCTTGACTGTTTGTCATCATGAAACATATGTCTCATAAATAATTTCCCTGTATGGATTCAAGGGCCCTATTTTGGAAGTGGATGGAGGGGAGAATAAACACACTTCCAGCAAAAGCATGTCGTAAAAAAGCAACTAATTATGGGTTTAGTGCAATCAAATGAGTTAGGCGTATTAGCTATATTATAGCACCATAGCTGTTAACCACAACACAGCTTGTGAACCGCCCTTTTGAGGGCAACAGTATTAAAAATAAGAAGGAGGAGGAGGAGGAAGAAGAATAAGAAGAAGAAGAAGAAGAAGAAGAAGAAGAAGAAGAAGAAGAAGAAGAAGAAGGAAGAAGGAAGAAGAAGAAGAAGAAAGAAGAAAAAACGAAAGACGAAAGAAGAAAGAAGAAAGAAGGAAGAAGAAAGAAGGAAGAAGAAAGAAGAAAGAAGAAAGAAGAAAGAAGGAAGAAGGAAGAAGAAGATGAAATGCTTGACAGCACACGAGACAGAAATCCACTGAAAATGAAGAAGACCTGCTCCTCACGGCACGAAGAATAAGAAGAAGAACAATGGAAAGAAAAGAAAAAGAAACTTGTAGAAGATTGCCTACCATAGGTAAGATTCTAATCTCAATGTCATCTGTTTTCACACTCAGGATTTCTTCCATGAAAACGAATATATCATCAGGGAGGGAGCCACAGGCGACACTTTTTTCATTTTAAACAAAGGGGAGATTCTAATCTCAATGTGTCTGATTGTGGTGTTTCGTTTTCTTCATAAAACGAATATGTCTCAGTTGTTGATTGTGGTTTTTCGTTTTATTCAAAAGGTGAGTTGTCTAGTTGTTGATTGTGGTGTTTCGTTGATTCATAAGGTGAGTTGTCTAGTTGTTGATTGTGGTGTTTCGTTGATTCATAAGGTGAGTTGTCTAGTTGTTGATTGTGTTGTTTCGTTGATTCATAAGGTGAGTTTGTCTAGTTGTTGATTGTGGTGTTTCGTTGATTCATAAGGTGAGTTGTCTAGTTGTTGATTGTGGTGTTTCGTTGATTCATAAGGTGAATTGTCTAGTTGTTGATTGCGGTGTTTCGTTGATTCATAAGGTGAGTTGTCTAGTTGTTGATTGTCGTGTTTCGTTGATTCATAAGGTGAGTTGTCTAGTTGTTGATTGCGGTGTTTCGTTGATTTATGACCTGTTTTTAGAATATTCTACTTTAACAATACCAGACTGTGCACGATATGTTTGTTTTTCTTGTTTTTAAATAGTTACTGTCCTCATTATAATCACCATCGTCATTATCATCAAAATCATCCCTACATCATCATCATTATCATCGTCACAACTAGCCTCACCATCGTACCATCTTCTTCTTTATCTTTCACATCATCGCCACGCCGTCGTCATCAACATGATCATCAAGTGACATGTCAACTTTCTAAATTTCTTAAAAATTGCATAAGCCTCACTTATTACGTGTCAAAATAAATGGTGAATACTGGCAGCTCTGTTTTATCGCTGTTTGCAGATGTCGACCAATATCTGCATGTTAATGTCTGATATTACCTCGCAACCTAGCCTACAGTGGGTACCAGGCAATGTACTGGGAAGTTTTCCTACTAGTGTTCGCCGGCTGTAAGGAACATTTTGGTTGTTCGTCCACTTCTAGACTTTAGTCGCATTCCAGAATTTGAATTTTGCGCCCACATCCATTTTACAGGTTCGGCATACGTGTATGCAAACTGCTGGTTCTTCGCCACAAGGCCGATGCACTCCTTTTTAAGGAGGAACCTGGGAAGTAAGGGCAGCCGGCAGGCTACTGAAAACATAAACCATCTAAGCCAAATATGTGTCTGGCATCATTTGTATGATTTATATTTGGCGTAAATATAAAAAAAAAAAAATAAAAAACCTCGTTTACTTTTCTCTTACTTTTTGTGACGTCGCTAGTGAGCCGCTGTATTGCTGTGCTGACACTGACATCTCGTAGTCATGAATTCAAACTAACACCAAGGCGGACTTTTGCGAGTTGTCTTGGGCAACACAATGAACCCAGCCTAAAATCGATACAAGGAAATATCCTGGGTAATGAAGTAGTTTGTCTCGAGGAGAAACTGGCGGAGAATCACAACACCAGAACTGCAGTTGCAAATAAATAGAGTGAGAAAATGAGGACGTTCAAAAGAAACGTTAAGGAGAACATGACGGAACTTTGAGAGATTCTATTCTATCCAAGATTCCAGGATATGTAATGGATGGCTCAGGATAGAATAAAATTTACATTTAAACTGCGAGCCCTATAGAATGTATAACAACTCGATGATGATGTTTATGAATTATGATGATGATACAACTAGCCAGCACGATGCTGACCACATTACCAATGACATGACTAATGCTGTATAAACATGTGACGCTAGCACTATCTGTTCTATGCCCGTCAAGGCAGAACTGAGTCCTTTACTCAATACATCACTGACCTAAGAGGTTTGAGGTTTGAACAACCAATCAACATCATGGAACACGGGTAGTAACCCATAAGTGCTCCGTTCGTCTTCTAGCTCACGTCTTTAGTACGAAGAACAGTGCATAGGCGGGGATCCTGAACTACTTTGGGTGGATTTTTAACTCCAATATTTTGCCCTATCAGCGCCGTCAGGCTACTTTTTTCGATTTACAACTGCCAAGGAATTTTTTTTAACGTACGCAACAATGCACACGGGCGTCTGATCTCACTACCCAGAGACCAGGGGGAATTACTAGTAATCCAAGTCCACGTGAAAAAATCCTAGCCCTCACCGGGGTTTGTACCAAGAACCTCTAGCACTCGAGACGGACACCATGCCGGGAGACCACGCAACCCCCTACCGACCTAAGAAGGACGGAGCACGCTTGAGAATGCACAGTGTGCTGGACGTCGACTGTGAATATCATTAACATACGTCACTTACCTAAAGAATTAGCCAGCAAATGATTTGTCAAATTTAATCTAGTCGTCCCGACCTTAAGCTAACCTCTCCGTTATCTTCTGCTCAGAATTCCCTCTTGTTTTCGAGAATGTTCGCAGATTGCATAAACTAGAAATAAACTTGCGGGGAACATTCGTGAAAAGGGAGTAACTCTGCTATCTGGACAATTGTGTCAGGAAGGATATTACCAGACTGGCATAGATCCTCGAGGCTGTTTTTCCGTGCTGCTGCGGCGTGATTCAGAAAGATTTGTCTGTTTTCTTCCAAGGAGAGCCTTTTCTCTACGCCCATCTCTCTAGTTCTCTCTCTCTCTCTCTCTCTTTTTTTCTCTGTATCTGTCTGTCGTTGTTTTTTTATCTTTCAGTTTCCACAAATTTTCTAGTACTCTCACCCTGGCTTTATCCATCCTACTTTCTCCTATTCTATAGCTCTCTCATACCCCTCCCAATGCTCCTGTCTTTTGTTCGCTCGCTTTCGCATCCATCAGCTCTCATCCTTGACTTCTTTTCTTCCCTGAGAAAATTGTAGAAATTACTTGTTACAATTTTTATGTGACAAGTAATCTTTAATGAAAATAATTTCTTCATTTGACTTCGGAATGCTTTTTTTTTTTTTTTAAATCTCTGTGCTTTTAAAACAATAAAGACAATCTTGCGGTTTTAATACTGCTGGTTTTATTGCTGTACTTACCCATGGGAGACGTGTAGTGGTCAGACACGGCCGGGCTCCAGTAGAGGAGGCGGTGTGGCTAGAGACCCTTCCCTGTCGGGCTTACCATAGCTACCACGCCGACCAAGATCATACTTTTAGGGATCATTTTTAAAGCTAGATGTCACATACCTCGGGGTGACATTGATGGTCCGTGGCTCGTAACTGGGCCTATGACAGACAAAATAACCTTTAACACACACTGAACCCGAACGCACACAGAGCACACATGACAATCTTTATTGCGAGTAGAATTAATACAATAGACAGTTAACTTCCCCCTGTTTTGCCACCTATTGCCTGGACCCTCTGACCGAACGTGCTTTACAGTCGCCTCGCTCCCCAATAAGTTCTACAGGCAATCTCCGGTGCCCAAACCACACTGACACTGGATACGCTCTTACCTATCGACACACTGACCTAGCAAGATATCATAGCCTCTGTCTAGTGCAGGGTCCGTGTGACAAGGTTAGACATTCTCTCACAGAACATGTACCTAAATGATCTAACTGGTCAGAAGTTACTGGACATCAGTTACTTATGGTGGCACAACACAATACCTTGTACCAGTTAAATACACAGCACAAAAGACTATCGTATTCTAACAGAACACTGTAAATACTCTATGCAGTCACAAAGAAATATCCTAACTCTAATATACTATCACCGTCTCGCTAACACGTTTGCTCGGTCCGAACGCTGTACACTCAATCCCCTGTGTTCTTTCACCTCGTGTCTTTTGACCCGTTCACCTGCCCCTGGGTTAATCGTGTTGCGATCTTGTTTGCAACAGAGTTCACTCTTTCCCGTCATCCTCAATTGGTCTCCACTGAGCGATAGTTTCACCGTGAACAGCACAGACTAGGCCAGTCACGGCATTGCCCTTTGTGTCAACCCTGGGGTGTCACCTGAACTCGGTACACCCTACGGTGTGGTCCATTCCGCCACTGACTGTACTCACAGGGTTGTGACAGTAGACTTGCCGAGACGTCGAATAAACAGCCTGGAATGGGCACCATAAAATATTCTGGGATGTAGGAGAGGCCTGCATGAGGATGGTCCCACCACCCATCGATTTGTCTATAAAAATTTGAATCTAGCATCATATTCTCAAACAGGGCCCTATGATTAAATTTTAATTGTTTACTTACATGTGGTATTAAGTATTTTGTACGCTTTTTGTGTTATTTTAAATAAGTTAGCCTCTTCTGTCTTTGAACATCAGATTTAGCAAAGATCTGACATCTGTTTATTGCCAAATCTCCCTAATCGGATCTTTTGCCACATCCTACAGATTACAGATGCTCTTACCGTATCACCTATTCCTGCATCAAACTAATCATGAACCCCCCTCCCACCCCCACCCCCACCTTTTTACCCCACGTGTGTGTGTTTTGGAAACTCCCTCTATTTCTATTACCCTACGGCTGCGGGAGAAATACAAGTTCTAAGCGTGGTATGGCTACTGTTGCTTTGATTATTCTTCTTTTTCCTCTTTCGTCGTCTTACGGATACCAGGTTATACCTCGGTGTCGTGGTTTTCTGATATGTCTTGCGCTTCTCTGGTAGTTGGATGATGGATTTGTTAATCTTTCTTCAAGATTCAGCTACACCTGTATCCTTCTTTTTCCTGGTCTTTCCCTCGCCAATCGTCTAACATGTTATGCTGTGAAAAGTCTATTAAGCAGTTTGGTCTGACTGTGTCCTCACTAGATGGCCAAACCGTTTTATTCTTTGTCTGTCAGTCTTCTTCTTCTTCTTTTGTTCGCCTAAAATAAGTTGTCTATATCAGTAGTTTTGTCTCTTGTATAAATTTCACTGTTGTTGTTAATTCATTCAGTGGTCCATAGAGTTTACGTTCCACTGTTGTTCTTTCTGGCCAAAAGGTTTGCCCTAATGTGTCAAATTCGCTATGGAAATATGTCTGCCAGTATAATCTAGACATGGGTTCATTCTTTGTCTGCCAGTATAATGTAGACATGGGTTCATTCTTTGTCTGCCAGTATAATCTAGACATGGGTTCATTTTTTGTCTGCCAGTATAATGTAGACATGGGTTCATTCTTTGTCTGCCAGTATAATGTAG